CACCTTCCTCTACATCGTTTTTTTTCCATAGCACACGAAGACGTCGTTTTCGATAAAACAAATCGCGATTTCGACCCTGAAGAACTCCTTTCAACCTTGACGGTTTTTTTGCAGGAGAGCTCGAAGAGGCCATTTTTGGTGAAACGTTTCGCACAAATTAACATTATTTACCGGTTTTGGAAAGAGTTACCATAAGTGGCCCCTTAACTATATATCATTTTTTCATCAGGCCATTAGAAATTTCTTTCTTGTGCACTTGAACATTTTGTGCCGGATGCTTTTGCTTCAGACTTGCGTGAAAGAATTTTGTTTTGGAGCCTTAAAGTTCTCTTACAGGTCCGAGATGCTACCTATGAAGAACGTCATGCTTTAGCAACAAATGGACTTCCGTTCTTCTTCAGCCTCTTTCCCTCAGAGCGCTCTTGAGGACATCAATCAGGTGAATATAGTGTAAAAACTTAAAACTGCAATGAAGACTCAAACATCAGACTCTCATCAGAGCAACCTACAAATGCTGTCTGTTTTTATCGCAGTTTTTTGCAATGGATCCGGCAAAGAGACTTGGCTGTTGTCAAAGTAGAACGCCTTCAAGAGCACATGTGTCTTTCTTCTTCGATGCGGAGATGCTTTTTTGCGAGATTGCTGTCGTTTGGGTTGAGTCTTGGAGCTGCGCTGAGACGGTCAATTGGAACAAGTCCGATGGCCACCCCTTATTGTGTTTGCTCAGCAAGTTGGTCAAAACCCGGATTGGCATCTCTTCTCGGCTTTGCTGGAATTCCCACTGTTACGACGGCGATATTCCTGCTTTGTTCTTTTTCTTTGCCAGCAGAAGCAATGTTGGCTGGAAACTGTTTCTTTGCAGAGCTCAGGCTAGGTGGAGTTCTGTTTGGCGGTGGGCCGCTTGAACATCGTCATTGCTCCCGGCAAGAAGTCCAGACTTGTGGTCGACAGTTCCGTTTGCGGTTCCAACAGTTGCTGTCAGGTCCCGGAATCCTACCTTGCCTGGCCTACAGCATGTTCGCCATTGCTTTCCTTTCCGTTTGCACAACGGTGCTCTGGGCGGCTTTTCTTTGGACATCGAGGCGGCTCACAAGACCGTTCGCATCAGGGAGAAGGACCGTGGTTTGCTTGGCGTACAGCATGATGGTACTTTGCGCTACCTCTTCTACCGCGTTTGTCCTTTCGGGGCTGTCTTTAGTGCTCACTGGTTTCAACGCGTGAATGCTTTCCTCATACGCATGCTGCATCCTTTCCTTTACGTTCGCCATGCTTTGTACATGTATAGTGACGACCTCTTAGGCATCACCGAGCAGTCGGTCTTGGACATTACTTTCGCGCTCGTCCTGGCCTTTTGTGTTTGCTTTGGTTATCCTGTTTCATGGAAGAAGCTGCAGATGGGAAGCCAGATCATTTGGATTGGCTGGAGCTTTGCTTTTGGGGCTGGGTGTGTGGAAGTGCCCTCCGATAAGACAGCCAAGCTCCTGGTCGGGCTTCGCGACTTGCTTAAACAGGAACGAGTGGACAAACGAGAGCTTCATCGGGTCATCGGCCTTATTCAGTGGATTCTACAGTTGTTTCCTTTGCTTAAGCCTTGGATGAATACGCTTTACTTCGACTTGCACTCCCCTTTGGGGACCAACTACAGCATGGATCCAGGGGGTCATCTGGACGACGCTCTGGTCTCTTCGGGTACAGCCATACCTTTGGGTTCCAAGCTCCTTTCAGTGCGTCATGTTGACATCAAACGTAAATGTGTCCTCGCACAGGTTCCCTTGACTTCAAAGCGCCTTTGGCTTCGGGTTGCGGACCCGGCTAGTAGTCGTCGTCGACTTTCACCTGCCTCCAGGCCAACTTCAAGGAACTTCAAGGAAGAGGGGATGAGTTCATAGAAGAGGAAGAAAAGGCAAGAGAAGAGTACGCGAAGTACTTTGACGAGCAGGAAAAGCTAAAGGAAGAACTCAGGCAGGACCGTGACCGTCTTCTTGAAAAGGAACTGAGGATGGAAGGCCACCGTGGACCAAGGACTTCTACGTCACCTACAAGGAAAGAAGAAGGAGAAGAGGACCTCAGCGAGTACAACGACCGCGGCTACTTCGAGAAGCTCCAGGAAGAAGAGGAAGCCCAGGAAGCAATGGAGGAGAACGAGAACGAGTACTACACGCAGTCCTACGAGATCTCAGAGGAAGAAGCAGGAGAAGCATGGACAGAGGAATCAGAGGAAGGAGAAGCAACAGGACCAGAGGAGCCAAAGGAGGAAGAAGAAGAAGGAAAGCCAAAGAGGAAGGAGACACAGGAAGAGTACGACGAGGAAAGGAAAAGACTCTTGGCAAAGGCAAGGGCAGACATTGCCCAGAAGGAAGCAAAGAGAAAGGAACAGGAAAAAGGTTTCAAGCCACCTGTGGACAAGAGCCAGGAATACAAGTACTACAGCGAAGGAGGCCACATCTACAGGCAAAGCCACAAAACAGGAGAGAAGATTTGGTGGAACTACGACTACAAGTACAAGCACCAGAAAGGAAAAGGCAAGGAAGCTTACGAGAAGGCAGGAAAAGGAAGCCGACCACACCAGCCCTTCCAGCCACGAGACGAAGAGGACAAAGCGTACTGGGCAAACATGGACGAGGAAGTGAAGAGGAAGAAGAAGGAAAGAGAGGAAAAGAAGGCAAAGGAAGAAGAAGAGGAAAGGAAGGTCAAAGAGGAACGAGAAAGGATCGAGAAGGAAGCAGAGGAGTTTACCAGGAAAGCAGAAGCAGAAGCAGCAGAGAAGGAAAGGCAGAGAAAGGAAGCAGCAGCGGCAGCAGCAGAGGACAAGAAGAAGAAGGCAGCAGCAGAAGAAGAGAAGAAGAAGGCAGCAGCAGCAGAAGCGGAGAAGAAGAAGAAGGCAGCAGCAGCAGAAGAGGAGAAGAAGAAGAAGGCAGCAGCA